CATGCTCACGGTTGTATATTAGTTGCATTCATGCATGTCATGCATATTGCATTGTGTGTGGGATAGGAATTAGCCCAAGCACGGAAACGAGGTACGTTTCATACTCCGAGTGACGGAACGTGTCTCAATTCCTGGTCGCCGACGCTCCGGATTATCCATGATGGAGTCTAGGCCTTGTTGTGTCCATATGTGCATTCATTTCATATTGAGTCGTGCAAATCGACTCCTCGGCCATCATGCATCGAGATGCGTGATTGGTGGCACGAGGATCGAGGACTACACTCCCTGAAGAGTAGTCATGGATACATATGTGAAAATACTTTGCCATGCCCCTTTGTTGCTCTCTTGTTGCTGCCAACTTTGGTGATGATGGACACGTGGCCTTAGGCAAACGAGTCAGGGTTTCCTAAATTTTCCCAAAATAAAATATTTAGGTGGCGACTCTGTATCTGGCAAAGCAGTCCATGTTTGGGCACTTCTTTCAAAATCTGTTTTCTCAAAACGATTTGCCGGATTTGGACTCTTTGGTTCAGATTTAGAATCGTGACAAATTGAGAGTCCAAACTGTAGTAAGCCCAATATCGAACGGAACGGGGGACTCATTCCTTCCGGGGGCGTTCGGGGACGTCTACAGTATGCTTGTATGCTTGCATTTGATGTCTTTTTAATGCTTTACAAGGTTGTCATCTTATGCTGCATATGTGGCCTCTTTTGTATGCTTGCATGTTTAGACCACATAGATGCCATCTAGGTATGTCCTTAGCTTTGTTTAGGTCTGCCTTGGACCTGTTTTAAGTCCTTTTAGCCTTGTGAGGCTTGTTTGACTTAGCCATGGTTTAAGCCCTCTTAGGCTTTCCTTGAATCTTGGACCATTGTTGCATGTTTAGCTTGTCTCGTTTACTTGGTTTGGCACCTTTATAACATGATTTTCAGAGCTTTCTATGCATGCTATGTGTCCATGTTTATCTTCTTTTAAGTGTGCTTAAAAGTTGTCTCTTTGATGCTTAAGTGTTGGTCCATTTACATGCATGGTTGTATGTGCATTTGGCCCCATCCTCATAGCTTTTGGCCACTGTTTTGGGCCTAGTATAGGGTTGCCCAAATTGGTATAAGTCCATTGTTTGCATGTTGTCGTATGTTTACCTTGTGTGTTGTCATATACTTAGCCTATTGCATGTGTTGCATGCTTCAATCGCTTTGCATTTGGCACGCATTCTCTTGGCTAAGTTGCCTAACATGTTGTCCATGTTGCACCTTGCATGCTTGTATGGTTAAGCTTGCATAGTTATTACATGTCTTGCATACTTATTTGCTTAGGTTGTGTGCCTATTGCATGCTTACTTGTTTGCATCTCATGTTGCACACTTAGCTCACATGTCTAGATTGCATATCATTGCATGCATCTTTCACCTCTTGATCAAGCCATGATAGAGGTTGAAAGCCCCTTTGTATGTTTCTATGCATTGCATTTCATTTGAAATCAAAATGCACGACTTGGTTCCTTGGGCCATCACGCATTGAAATGCGCGATTGGTGGTCCGAGAATCAAGGAACATACCCCTTTGAGTCACAAACATGATAAGGGATGTATTGGTGCACACATTTGCTTGAAATGCATTGCCATGCCTTGTTTTGCCCTCTATTGCTATCAAAACATGTTCTGCAGGAAGACTTGGCCGGTCGACTACATGGAGTGCCGACCGACCAATTATTGATGGCCGAGAGCTCAACAAATGGTTGATGACCATCAGGACATGATCGGTGGGGTTTCCACTTGGTCGATGGTGATCCACAGTGTCCATGGAGCACACCTTGGAACTTATGCAATTTTCAGAGGAGCAGAGCAGGGAAAACAGAGGCAGCTTGTGCATGGCGACGGATTTCCGAGCAAACCCGAGCACGCATGCATTGGACCCTCTTCCCGAGGCTGTTTATTGCTTTCTACTAGTTAGGTGATCTGTAATAATTAATTAGTTTCTAGGTTAGTTAATTTGTATATTCTTTTGGTCCCTCCGAGCGAGGGCGAATTTGCAATAAGTGTGGGTGCGTGTGTGCATGTCTTCCAATCCCCATTTCTTTCTCCCTTTTACTTACCTGCTTTTGATGGTTAGTATTAAGGCATATTTACTTTAGCATACCTTATGCTATGCATGCGTGCATCATTCATCAGTATTGCATGCACCGGGCTCGGCGCGTCATGCTAATTGCATAAGTATTTCAAATCTAACTTGAATACATGCCATCTGTCGCATTTCACATGCCATCCATAGATTGGCCGAGCCTATTCTAGTGACATTCTGTATGCGATGCATTAGCCATTTTAACATGAACTAGGATCATGCATGATTACTAATTAGTTCATTGTGTTGGCACAGAGTACGATGTAAGTATTTATGCTTTAGCATTTCACATAAGTGTAAATGTTAACATGACAGCATGCTTACCATGCGGCTATATGCTTACGTGATATTACTGTCTGAATGCCTGTGGGTGAAGGTTGGATTGATTGAGTTGGAACAACTCATTGAAATCCGTGTTTTAACCTACTCGTGAGTAGCAAATTTCAAACCATTTTACAAACAAACTGATATACAATGCTCTGTTCCAAATTAGGCGATCTAGTCTATACTTGTTTTGCTGCGCGCATCACATAGTAATTCTAGGCTAATTAACCAGAATAAGAATGCATAACGTTTTCAAAATTAGATATCGTGGTTAGTAGAGGCCGATCTTCGGATCGGGCGAGAGGGGGTGCTCATATCTGACCTTCCCCGATCGTACCCAAGTTCTCGAGCCAAGGCAACTTTGGTGATGACGGACACGTGGCCTTAGGCAAACGAGTCAAGGTTTCCTAAATTCCCCCATAAAAAATATTTAGGTGGTGACTCTGTATCTGGCAAAGCAGTCCATGTTTGGCACTTCTTTACAAAAATCTATTTTTCAAAACGATTTGCCGGATTTGGACTCTTTAGTGATTTATAAATCTCACATTGCACATTGTGAGATCAGATTAAGAATCGACACAAATCGAGTCCGAACTGTAGCATGAGGCCCAAAGGGACGTCTACACAAGGCCATCACTTAACCTAGCTCGGCCCATGGCCCAAGCCTATCAGCTAGCCTGGCCCAATATCTGGGCATCCTTCTAGCTCGGTTGTGTGGTCCAAACAGCGGCCCAAATGTGAACTTGCTCGATCGAAATATCATAACTCTTTTAAATATTATAAAATCATTGTGTTGCTCACATGTTACATACGTCAACAAAAGGAAGAATGGTGTTTCTTATACTTCATGGCTATGGCTATAATAGATCCATAAACATTTGAAGCCTCACATTCTTTGTGGTTATTTGAATCATCTATGGAATTACAAATTGAAAAGCAAGCTTTCCTCCACACAGCTCACCAACTAAAGCTGATTGATTCGAAATGTAGGTTATCTGCCTCACTAGATGAGCAAATTGCCGCAACTTCTTGCCTCATCTTCTTTGGACCACTAACAATGACCCCAATGCTCGATCCTTCACACTCTAATATTAATTCTGCATTGAAAAAAATAAAATAAAAACCTAGTTTATATAATATAAGTCATAGCCAAGTAGCTTGTGATGAAATTAAGAGTAATGTTATATAAATCAAATGAAGAAAAAAAAAAGTGGGATGAGAGTTTTCTTACTCTTAAGATTAGGTCTTTGACCATAGTGCACCGTAGTATTTTGAGCAAGGGACTGGTGGGGAAGGCTTTCCAATTCTCTATCATCCACGTCGTAGCAGCTTGACACAACTTGTCCTGGCGATGCCATTGATGTTGGCATGTCCAAGTTTTGAATCTTTTGTCTCATTTCCTTACCACTCTGTTTCTTGTTCCATACAAAAGCTGAACTTGCAGCCATAGCTATGGAGATGCACATGAACAACACATTCAGAACTGATCTTGAAGTGTATGAAAATCTCATCTCAGTGTTGTGATCTATAGGGTATATGTAGTACCGTGTGAGAATACCAATGAGAACGAGGAATATGAGAAATGATGATGAAATTATAACTCCAAGCCAGAGCCAGCTGTTTGAGCCTAAAATTGCAGAAATTGGAGCATCCGCGGCACTGGGCTTGAACCACATGGTTCGGCAGGGGCTCTGGTCATCTGTGGTGGTGGTGGGTTCTATTTGTCTTGTTACGTATGCCTCGATCCTGAGATGTAACCTGGAAACGTCGTCGGTGGTGGCAGAAGCTGGGAGGAGGAGGTCTAACATGGTGAGATCTACAGATTTCTTGAAAGCAGTGATGAGGAGAACCTGTGGGGGGTTTCTCCTGCAACTTCCTATGCTGCTAAAGAGGAGCTCACGGAGGATGGAGATAAAAGGAGTGATGCCACTTCCTCCGCTTACCATCACCAGTGTGTCATGCCTGCATATCATATGTTTGTCTCTTTACAGTCCTTTTGAAAATTGAGCGGATAAAAGTAGGCTCAACAATTGATCAGCAGGAGCCTAAAACTTAAGTTTCAGATCTAAGTCCATCACTTTCGACTGGTCAACACATCGAGCTTCAAATGAATGACCATCTTAAAATTTCTAAAGTACAAAAACCTTTGTTATAGACTTCAAAATATGAGATTATGGGCTTCAGGCTAATCTTAACCCATATAGCCTAATTTGGTCTTAATTTAGATTCAATTTGGGTTATTTGTTAACTAATTCAAAATTTATTGAAAAAACTAAAAGAATTATAATACAAAATTCTAAACTACATCATAAGTACAATAAGAATTGCGCTCTATAATGAAAAATACAAAAAAAATAAATAAATTTTATGAAAAAAAAGAAAGAAATCATTATTGAAGTTCGAAGAGGATAAAGAAAAAAGAAAAAAAGAGCTCCTTGTTTATTTAAACTGCACATAAAAGATAATGACTTTTGTTCTATTTACTCTTTGTTCGAGAGAAATGTCTCATCTCTCATTTTTAACACCTCCAATTATGTCTCTTTAAAGTGTGTGATCACTTTACGTGAGAGTGAACCACGTCATTAGAGATGTAATTAAATATGTAAAATTAGAGGAATGTAGCACCAATCTTTGTTCGGAAAAGAAGTGACTTATATTGTTTTACCAAAATAATCTCCTATTTTTAAATTTATTCTATGTTTAGAAGGATAATTACGCTCAGAAATATGAAAAGTTAACCTTAGCTAATTTTCTCCTCTCAATTTCTTTCTATTTTTTCTTCCTATTTCCAAATAAGAGTTAGGATCAATAGATTTTTTATTTTATTTTATTTTATTTTTTTTGTCAAATTACACAATCCAAATGGCTCAAGATCCGCCATGACATTCATCAAAGTTCAAAACTAGTATTGAAGTTTGCATGCTAAAATGAAGGAATTATATGGTACACAGCCCTCTGTATGTACTTTGTTATTTGTTTTTGTAGTATATGTTACGTATTTTATAATAAATGTGATATTTTTTTTGGATAAAACTTATGTCAATTTGCATTTCAAAAATAAAGTTATGTATTTTTGTGATAATGTTACGTATTTTGAGGTATTATTGCATATTTTGTGGTTAGAAAATGTTTAAATAAAAATTTGTATAATATTACCATAAAAATGTATAATTCTATCCCAAAACGTAACTTCATTTCTAAAATATAAATTGTCATAACTCTTATTAAAAAAATATATAATATTTATCACAAAAATTGCATAACTAATACTATATAAATACATAACAAAGTGGAAGTCTGATAAACTCTAAAATGTTATGCGAATTTGTTTGGATGAAGTCTGATAAGGAAGTCTTATAAGAAAATCCTCTGGTATATGTAATTTGGCATAATTTACAACGGAGTACTTTATTATCTTTTTTGAGTCAAATCATTTCTCTATTTTTTTTACCCATCTTTTTCGTAAAAGCCAAAAAGTATAGTTAAATCATCTCAAATACCCTCTTAATTATGTATTTATGCTATTTGTTATGGATTTTAGTAATAAATGTTACATAGTACGGTTAACTGTTGTTTGGCAATGTATTATATAAGTGCATTTATTTGTTTATTTATTATAAATTGTCACATTATTTTTGTATTTTTTTGCACATTTTTTTATAAATAGTCAAAAAAATTATTAAATAAACAAATCACAAACCGTATACAATTTGTGATTAAAAAATGAAATTACATATTTTTTTATTGAATTTTTGTTAATCACAAAATATGTAACATTATCGCAAAAATATTAAGATAAGTTTGGAAACTTGAAAAAATAGCAAAAAAATAAAAAGTCAAAGAATTGCATCAAAAAGTCAAAATTTTCTTTTCATTTCTGCTTTTGTATTTTTTTTTAATTTTTTTTTATAAAAAGTCAAAAAATCATCTTAAAATACTATTTTTTTTATCTCATATTTTAGCTAAAAAAAAAAAAAAAAAACTACTAAATAACTTCCCAAACCAAATACTATCACAAAAGTGCATAAATCGTTTCTGAATTACAAATTATTGTTAACACTATCAAAAAATATGTAACATAAATTACAAAAATGCATGACTAGATGACTATGGGCCCTATAAGAAAAGAGTTTTTGTCTGGAAAATTTCAAAAAATGTTTGAGACCTCTAATAAAATTTTTGTAATTTTACTCACAATAATATAAAATAATAGATGATAATTTTTAATTTATCATACACTCAATTAGGTAAGACTTTACGTCATTATCATATCATTGAGAGTATTTGAGTCAAACTCGAAAGGTTTTGTTACTGTCAAAACTTCGGATGACTTGCCTATGATGACTTGCATGTTGCCACTTTCCTTATTAATTAGAGTAAATTATATTTAAAATACAAATTATTTTTCTGTGATTTAAAAAATTATAAATATCTTATTTTCTGAATTTTTTATTTAATAAAATTTATAAAAAAATGAAATTCCTAACTACTGTTCCATATAATGATAAAATTATCTGTATTAATATTTGAAATAAATTTTTGACATCATAAATTTTTTTTAATTAAGTCAATTATTTTCGCATCTAAATTTTTTTATTATTATTTATTAATAAAATGAGTCATTTGTTATGAAATTAAAACTTCAAGGGACGGGATATAAACTACAAAAAACAAATCATATTTTTACCTTTAACCTTTTAATTATGGATATATCTCTAAAATGTTATGAATTATGAAAATTTATTTTAAATCATACTCTCTGAAAGTGAGAGTGTAGTGTTGATTTAAAGTTAGTGATATATGAATATTACACCCAATAACGAATAAATCATTGATTCCTTTTTTTTTGGTAATTTTCAGAATAATTTTTCCGAGTATGTAGCATTGCTGATGAATAAATACCTCAGAAAATGAGCTGACGCAGGTCCATAAGGTCCTTCAATGGAGGCCTCAAGGCGGTCCGGCGGAGGAGAAGACACAGAAAGTTTATGATAGAGCTTGTGAGACCAGCTTCCTTGGGTTTTAATGACGACACTTAGCTTCTCAGGATCAGTATTACAGTTGGAGGTAATTGTAAAAGGATGCCATTCAAGCTTGGAGATTCCAGGCATGTTTATGAACATGCTGCTTGTTGGATTATAACACAGCCCTGACAACAGATTCAAAGACGACAGCCTAAAATCCATCAATCACCCACATTTTCACCATTGGAACTGTGCTTAAATGAAATGATGATGATGACAACTTTGAATTGAATCATTGAAGTCAATCTCACCTGGGCTTTTAGAGAAGTTGAGTTCTACAGCTTGACAAGGCAGAACACGGGCAGAAACCAGGCAGACCCTTTGCTGGGATTGTAAGAGGCGTAGATACCGGTCGATCAAGAAGAGATAGAAGCCTGGAAGAACGATGCAGAAGTAGGCAAACCCCACGTGTAAAATATAGAATATAATGAAGAGAACATAGAGGTAATGAGTGTAGAAGAAGAGTTCAAAAATCTTGCGCCGTATGCGGGCGAAGCTTGTTGCCCACATGGCCAATCCAAAGAGCAGAGCTATTTCTCCGGCCAAATTTGAGATCCCCACTTTTCCCCATTTGACCATCTGCAATCCCACAATTTCACTTCATTAGTTACTAGTTTATTTTGATTATATCACTTCCCTACTTTTCTATACGTCTTTTCATAATAAGAAAAAAAATCTGTTTTGAGGACTTTATTTTGGCCATTGTGGTTTGGGTGAGAAAAGTTTCAAATAGTGTTTGTAGGTATTGTACCTCAGAAATTTGAGGTGTGTAGGCCCAAATGATGACAAAACACAAGCCGTGTGCAGTGAAAAGGGTCATAGTAAGATGGCCAAGCCAAATATGATATTTTATGCTGGACTCTGATGTGAGACCGACGAGCCGCAACACCGAAGATCCTCTGGTCACCGGGAAGAAGAGAAATGCTAGGCAAATATTACCAACAAGGCCTAACAGCAGCCCTGCACTGTACAATTTCGCTTCCCATCTGCCAAAACCCACCCGTTGTCATCATTGTAAGTCATCACAATTTTTATATGAAAATCAAAAGGCTTGTTTCTTACACTTTCTCTCCCATCTCAGCCGCAGATTGTCTGGTGATATTGGCCATCATGCTGTGCAAGTAAGAAGAGAAGGACCAGATAAGGAGTGCAATGAACATTGATAAAAAGCTGAGCTCTATCCATGAAACAATCCCCAGAGGGCCCTTTACAAATGCCGGCTTTTTCCATTGGGCTAAATAAGAATTCTTGGCACTGCTACTGTCACTGAAGAGGAAAAACACAACACCAATAATTAATAAGAATCACATTGTTTTTTTCTTTTCTTTTTTTATTCTTTCACACATTGCAGTTTTCATAAGAATTTGGTAGTGATGAATGATTAAAATTGCTATTACTAAGAACATCTATCTACCTTCCATTTTTGTGTTTGACGTCTTTCTTTCCAAGATGGAGGTATAAACATCCCAAAACAGAGATGAATAGGATTGGGAATGTATAAATCAGAATGTTTCCACCTGCAAGGTTTAAGAAGATAACTTACAATTAAAACTCAAATTTGTTCCATAAGAGCATGTCCAACGGCGTATCAATTTTTTCACCAAATTTGAGTAAAAATTTCCTTTGATATCAAGTGTTCTAATTGAGGATTTTGGAGTTTCATCAAATTACCAGTCGACCGACGGACAACCAGCCAGTCAACCGGTCAATGTAATTTTTTCACAAATTTTTGCCTTAACGTGGTCATCCGAGAATGACCAGGAGGACATCCAGAGAGACATCTGGCAACTGGAATGAATAGTGATTTGATGAAAGGCATATTAGTTCTTAGCGAAATCCTAAATTTGATACATATGTGATAAAATCGTTGGAGCAGGTTTTGAAGCTATTTTTCATCAAATTCAAATTAGATGACAGTTTTGAGTAACCATTGGATGGTCTAATAGAACCTAATAAATAAACGGAGCTAAATAGGGTCTAGCGGGGGCACGTGTCCGCTCTCATTTTTTAAAAATTACACTTTCACCTCTAATTTAAAAAATAAAAAAAAAAATCATTTAACTCCCTTTTAATTTTTAAATATGTTTCTAAATTTTTATATCTCATCTTTCTTTTCTCTTTCTTCATAATTTGCTAATATAAATATTTAATTTTATCGAAATATTCTATTATAATTATATCTATCTCTCTCATTTGTCTCTTGCATTTCTCACATCTATCTTCTTCTTTTTTATTTTTTATTTTTTTTGTATACATGTTATTACATTTTAAATCGTAATTATCATCATATATAGTAACTAAAATAACAAATAAAAAAATAGGGCACTTAGTCCATAAATCCAAATTTAAGTTTTGTTAGGCTAAAAGTCCAGGCGTTAAAAAAATTTGTCCATAAAGACAAACTTAAGCAAAATGAGCAAATTACCCATACACATATACATTGGTATACACGGTCAAGGTGTGAAACAAACCAAACAATCTCTCTCTCTCTCTCTCTCTCTCTCTCTCTCTATATGTGCGAGGGTTTTGAGCTAGGGTTTCTCACTCTCTATTGGGCTCTGTCGCCGCCGATCCCAAGTCTGCTGGATGACGTCAGCCCGAATCAGCTAGAAGCAGCAGAAGTAGAAGGGGCCCGTGGCCGCCACCCGACTTCCGACGGTGACGCCGCTAACAAAGTGCAAGCTGAGGCTATTGAAGCTAGAGCGAATCAAGGGCTATCTTTTGATGGAAGAAGACTTCGTGACCAATCAGGAGAGATTGAAGCCCTAATAGGAGAAGACCGAGGAGGATCGATCGAAGGTCAATGATCTGCGAGGCTCGCCGATGAGCGTCGATAATCTTGAGGAGCTGATCGATGCGAATCGCATGATCATATCGTCACCGGTGTGACCGGAGTACTATGTCGGGATTTTGTCGTTTGTTAACAAGGATCAACTCAAGCTTGGTTACGCAATTTTGATGCATAATAAGGTGTTATTCTTCATGTTTGATTGTGATTTTATGAAATTAGGGTTTTAAATGATCGAGCTAGGGTTAGGGTCTGTTATTAGAATGCTGATTTCTAAAGAAATCGAGAATTTAGGTTTCGAGATTTGAAATTGTTTTCCATTAATGGTGGATTTGAGCAAGTTTTCTATAATTATTGTAGATTAAAAATCCTCTGCCACCTATGGTGGTTGATTGTTGCAAAGTGATCTCCAATGGCAAAAGTGAAGAAAAGAAGTTAGAAAGAAAGATTGTGCTTGAGAGCTTATGGTCTTCCGAATCTGGTCTCACAACTTTTGTTTGGTGTTTAATCACATTATTTGTATAGATAAAAGGCTGTGATTCGTTCAAAAATTTGATCTATTTATTTTCAATCTTCTCAAGTTCTTTTTTTTTAATTATTATTATTATGTAAGTTTGGATCATTTTTTTGTTGTTGCTGATGATGATGAAGAAACATATTGCAGAAGATACTTTTTTTTTTCTTGTGTTCATGTTGATGAAAATGAGACAAATTGTAATAGATATGGAGAAAGATGGACAAATCAAGAGAAGAGAGATTTGAACAGATAGAAGAAAAAAAGTTGAACAGATAGGGTTTGGTAATTTCGTTTGGCTTCCTATTTAAATAGATTTTTTAAAAAATATATTGAACAAATAGAAGAATTTTAAGAAAAAATTGAACTATAGAAAATTTATACAAAAAAAAATTGAACAAATAAAAATCTATACAGATAAAATTTGGATAGATAAAAAAAATTAAACAGATAGATATAAATTTGAACATATAGGAAAAAAAATTTGAACAAATAAAAAAATTAGAACGAATAGTCAGTGAAAGTCAATAAATAAAAAAAGTCAACGGATAAATTAAGGGTAAAATTGAAAACAAAATACTTTTCACAACAAATAAAAAGATTTCTTACCAAATTATTTCATAAAGAATGGATCTCTCACTAACAAAAAAACATCTACTGGATCTAATGTATTATATACTTATTAACTTGGACTTTTTAACAATTATCTAAAAAAAATATCAATTAACTAAAAATATTTAAGTCACATAATTTTAATATCACCTTAATCTTTAGTTATTCTATCATCAAATAAAAATTGAATTCAATTAAGTCTTGTAATTGATATCACTAAGAATTAATTGTACCTCCATGAATCAAAATCGTGGCTCCACAAATAGCAGGCATAGTATTCCATTGTTTACAGGGTTATTTTGAAAAGTAGGTTAAAAGTTAATTTTTCATTCATCTTTTTTTTTTTTTTTTTTTATTTTTTTTTCAAAAGTTTTTTTTTTTTTTTTTTTTTTTTACTTTTTTGAAAAAATTTGTAAAAAAATAAAGAAATAATATAACTCAAAATAGATTAAAAGTCATAAAATTACTTTTAACCTCTTTCCCAAAAGAGGCCACAGTAACAATATAAACAATAGTGCTAAAAACTCAATAATTAAACATAGAGGGGCCATTTGAGAACAGGAATAAAAAGTCAAAAGTCAGCTTTCTAGTTATTTTAGGTTATATCATCTCTCACATAAAAATGTTAAAAAAATAAATAAAAAAATTAAAAAGTCAACTTTTAACTATCTTTTCAAAACATCCCAGAATTAGATACATAAAATTTATGAATAAACATGATTTGCTGATGACACTTACATTTTGAGTTTTGGTTTATACATTTCTAACATTAATGAAAATAGATAATAAAGAAGAATTCGAACCTTGTTGTCCAAAGTATGTGGAGTCAGCATTGGCTTGGATATCAGGAAGCCAGTGTAGCCAAAATGTATTAGTGGGCATCATTAACCATATCATGATGTACCCAAGAAAAATCACCAAGACCAGCACCCCTATTGCTAATCTGGTTTTCTTCTTGATTCCTTCACGAGGCCTTTGTTTAATTTCCACTGAATCCATCTATCTCTCTCTCTCTCTCTCTCTCTCTCTCTCTCTCTCTCTCTCTCTCTCTCTCTCTCTCTGATGATGATGATGATTCCTGGCTGGAGGGAGTACATGCCTTAGGGACTTGTATATATACCAAGTATTTAATATAATGTAATAATGAAAAAAATATAATGGAGATAATCATAAAAGATTCTTTACTATTAGATTACAAATACAATAAAACACCACACACTAATCAAATGATGAAAAATTTTCATGATATTTCTTTCATAATAGAGGTTGTTTGGGGTGTCCTAAATAAATACACTTTTTATCTTTTTGGACTAAAAAATTGAGAAAAAAAATATGGATGTTTGGGTTAATTTTTTGACTTTTTATAAAAAAAATTGTATTAAAAAATTGTATAAATTAGTGTGTAGGAAAAAATTAGGATTGAAAGTTGTGCAGCTGTAATTTTTGACTTTTGGTGAATAGTGATAACTTTTTAACTTTTTGAGTAACTTTTTAATTTTTTGACTTTTTGACAACTTGCCAAACTTGACCTTAGTGATATTATTTAATAATATATAGAGACAGAAAGAGAGAGAATAAACAACAGAAATAGTTTAGTTGATTATTTAATTTATTTTTATTTTTATTTTTACTATTTTAATGTCATTAAAAAATTTGTGTTTGAAAAGTTGTTTAGTTTTTTTATAATTAATTTGACGGTTGTAAAAGAAAAAATAAAATGATTATAAATTAAATATGGTGTTTTATTTTATTATTATTTTAATATATTTTATCTTTTAATGAATTATTTTAACTCAATCCTCTTTATAAAGTGGGCCAAAGTGTTTGGCCTCTTTTGACATGTTGGTTAAAAATTAATTTATTGATTTTTTAAATTTTTTAAACCGTATCATCTTTTTATTTTTCATATAATTTTTATAAAAAAAAATAATAAATCAATTTTTAACTTATTTTCCAAAATAAACGTTTGTTAAAGCCCAGAAGAAGGGTTTTTAGCTTTTTTGACTAAAATAATATTAAAAGACAAAATAGGCTAAAATAACTAATAAGACAAAATGTCACATCAAATTCATAATCATTTTACTTTTTCTCTCACAAATATCACATCCAACTACAAAAAAATTCAACTGTCTTCCCAAATATAAAAATTATAGGGTTTTTTTTTTTTAGAGTCCCTGGTATTAAGACTTTATAGTATAAATGACATCTAATATTTTCATAATGTCTAAGGTCCCTCAATTTGATCTAGAGAAATTCTGCTCCAGAGAAATTCTGGACTAGAGAAATTTGAATTTTCTCTGGGTTCAACCCAGAGAAATTCTTTGGAAGTCCAGAATTTCTCTAGAACTATAAAACTCTGATTTGATCAATTTGTCTTTGGCTCTGATGCTGCTGATTCAATCACAATTTCCTGCACAAACAAATTAATAGTTCTTCTATGAGTTTGTGATAGATTTTCTAAACTTAATGCTATGAATTTCTCTGGGTTCAACCTAGAGAAAATTCAAATTTCTCTAGAACTATAAAACTCTGATTTGATCAATTTATCTTTGGTTCTGCTGCTGCTGATTCAATCATAATTTGAATGGAAAGGTTTGACAAAATGTTTCAACAAATAGTAAGGCATTAAAATTTGAAATACTGAGCAAAATTTGAAAAACCCAGCAAGATTCCAAAAACAATTTTGTAAAAAGGATTTATAACAGAGGATGAATAGTAGGTATAGCATATCAATCAACATAAGAACTGCAAATTTACAAGAGGATTTGGAAGTTTCATGAACATGCATGATAACTAGCTATATCAACATTACCTCTCTAAAGAAATTTTGAAATTTCTCTGAATCAATCCAAAGAAATTTTAGTTCAAACCCAGAGAATTTCTTTGGGGATATATCCACACCGCTCACCACTCCAACCTTCAACTTTCCTCTGCTTCACCACCCGTTCTTTCATATATATATATATATACACACACACACATATATATATATATATATACTGCTGCACAGCAGAATAAAAACTGATCATGAACACCAACCTCTGTGACTGATGGGAGTGCCATGTTTTCTTCACGCATTAGCACCCAGTCCAAATTGGAAGAGTATTATCTGAATAGATACAATGATAACCTTACAGTAAACTGACAATCAAAGCACAAGAGAGAATCAAACTAACTTGTATACTCAGAAAACAAAATCCCTCAAGGCCATACCCTATCATATCTAAGCTGCCGCACATCCTCAAACCTCCTCGCACGTATGTGCTTCCTTAATTTGAGAGTAAACCCAGGAGTATTCCTCGTATGTATGTGACGGCTTCGGCGAATCGAGAATGAAGAAATGGAATCGTGAGCGATTGAGAGTGTTGGAACAATTTTACAAACTGAACTTTACGATCCCAAACAATTGTTAGCAAAGAAGGTAGGAGCGGAGAAGGTAGGAGGCGTGAGAGAGGTTTCCGGTGGAGAGGTCGGACTTGGCTATGATCAGCATTCCGAGGCCCTATGAGAAGCGGCGAGCCACGTTGGTCGCGTCGGTGCACCAGAACTCCACGTGGTGGAACCGCTTGACTGCGAACCGGTCTGTTTTAGGGTTGGTACGTACGAAGTTTGAGAATCCCACTAGCTTGAACACCTGCGTAGAGTTGCTAACTTGCGCATCTCCACCATTAATAACAGTCTCAGCTTCCTTCCCCATTTTCGGCTGACGTCATTTTTGGATGAGAATGAGAGAGGGGTTTCTGGTGCGCGAAGAGGGTTTCGGAGAGAGAGAGAGAGGAAGTGCTGCTCTGCAGTAGATGAGGAGAGACAAAGAATCAAGTTTCTTTGATATATGTTTAGGGACCTTAGACATCAAAAAATAATTTTGTGGATCTCTTTCATGACGAAAAGTGAGAGAGAGATCTTAGACTAATTTTTTTAAAATTATAACCTCTTAAAATAACCTATTAAAATAACAACTTCCCAAACACTCAGGGGATACGGACACAAATGTTAGTACAGGAGAAGGTATGAAATGGGATTGGCTGTTGGTTATATTGTTACTGTGGGTTTGTCACGTGGGTTTGTGCAAGTTGACTTTTGGAAGACTAGAGGCACCATGCATGGCTATGGCTTTTTGGTTCCTTACAAAGCAACTGTCATCAAATGCCTGTTTTGGCAATTGAATTAAAAGTTAATTTTTTAATTTTTAAAATTTTTTTAGATTATATTATTTTTTTATTTTTTTTTTAAAAAAATCAAAAAAAGTAAAAATATTAATTTTTAACCTACTTCTCAAAATAAGTCAAGTTCTATTTTGGCATTTGGATTAAAATAATTTTTACCTTTTTTGATATTTTTAAATCATATCACTTCTTTATTTTTATTTTTTATTTTTTTGTATATTCTTTCATAAAAAATTAAAAAAAATAAAAAAATTAATTTTTAACTTGCTTTTCAAAATAGAACAAAGTGTAGGTGTAAAAGTGTTCCTTCCAGAGGAAACGCCTCTATAATATTTTACTAACTAGCATTGGCTCTGATGCTGCTGATTCAATCACAATTTCCTGCACAAACAAATTAATAGTTCTTCTATGAGTTTGTGATAGATTTTCTTTAAACTTAATGTTATGAATTTCTCTGGGTTCAACACAGAGAAAATTCAAATTTCTTTGGTCCAGAATTTCTCTGGAACTATAAAACTCTGATTTGATCAATTTGTCATTGGTTTTGCTGCTGCTGATTCAATCACAATTTCCTGCACAAACAAATTAATAGTTCTTCTATGAGTTTGTGATAGATTTTCTTTAAACTTAATGGTATGAATTTCTCTGGGTTAA